GCCTGCAGCTCCTCGCTCTCCTGGTCGTAGGCGGCCAGCAGGAAGCCCCCGTAGCGGCCGGCCCGCTTCCCCCGGCCCAGGTAGGCGCCGATCACCACGAGATCCAGGGTGTCCCCCACGCCGTCCAGGTAGTCCTTCTTCAGCTGGGAGGAGGGAGGGCAGGCGGTGAGGGGGAATCACAGAGTGGTGGGTTGGGAGAGACTGGAGAGGAGTTTCCGTAAAGACCGAGCGTGGCCGCTGAGAATGGACACGGAACGGGCATCTAGGCTGAAAGAGGCTGGGAAAGAGGCAATGCCATGGGAGGAGCAGGTGCGACGGGGAGGTGGGGGGGGACAGGCCGGACGGGGAGACCTGGGGTCATGCTGGATCCCCTTTCCCTCAGACAGAGACAGATTCCACTCACTCCTTCACACAGAGAACACTTATCCATTCGTTCCGGAAACACTAGTTAGTGCCAACTGTGAGCCGGGCAGGAGCTCGGCCTTGGGGATGCATAGGGGCTGTGTCCTGAGACAGGAAAGGTTCCTGCCCTCAGAGCGGCTTACAGTCTGTGGGGGCAGACAGACCACAGACGACTCATAAAGGTGCAGGCCTGGCCAGCTCAACTCCAAGCCCTCCCCTGCTCCGGTCCTCCTGCCCCTCATGTCCCTCTCCATCCAGCCTCCGTCATTCCTACCCAACCACAGCCTCCCGCCTGTGCTCCTGCTTCTGCCCAGCACCCCACCCGTCACCACCCACGGACCAGCCAGAGCACCTGTGCAAAACGACAAGCAGGTCACGTGCCTTCTGCTCAGAACCTCTGCTGGCCTCCGAAACCCAGAGGAAGCCCCAGTGTTATTTACCATGGCCCCCATGCGCTGTGCGATCGGGGCCTGCTCTCCACCCCGACCCCACAGCCACTGCCTCGCTGCCTTACACACCGAGCTCCTTCCGACCTCAGGGCCTTTGCACTTGCCGCGCACCCTGCCTGGATGGCTGCTCTGATCCTCACGCGGCCGACCTTTCCTGTCGTCTGTGTCTTGACCCAAATGCGGCCTCTGGAGAGGCTTTTCCAATTGCCCTCGCTGCCCCTGAGCCGACTTCTTTCTTCTCTCAGATGCCCGTTCCATGTCCTTTCTCAGCGGACATCACTACCGGACCCTGCCTCCCTGTGCCCTGCTGACCGCCTCGCCCGACGTGGAGGGTCTGACATGGAAGGCAGGTTCAGGGAGAAGGGAAACCTCATCGGGCTTTCCCACTGCGGCCTCGGGGCACTTAGCGTGCGATTTCATTAACAAGGACTTGCAGTGGGGAGCCCTGAGGCTGCAGTGCGAGGCAGAGGGTTCAGGAAAAGGCTCCTGAGCTCAGACAGTGTGAAGTGCAGGACTTGAAGTCAACGTCCCGGTCGGGAAAGATCTCCGGATCCAGGGCTCAGCGGGAAGGCTGGGGGGTGGGGGATGGGGTCCAGGGCTCAGCGGG